ATTTTAGTTTTATTTTAGGCCTTCTTCAAAATACCTATGCCTACAGCAGATGATTTTTTTGCCGTAAAACCAAAATAGTTTCATCCATGCCGACATTCCGGTCGGTTAGCATGAGCCCTGACTGAACTCTGCAGAAACTTCACAACCATCAACAAAATGTCGGAAAACTTTTCCTTGACGCATGCGCTTTTGCATAAATGTCTACACACACACATACACACTACACACAATAAAAAACATAGGAAATAGCAAGAGTGATTACAATAGTTCCTATTGCATTACATGCATAGGAACTAAAAAGCAATTGCCAGAAAACTGTACACAGCAATGACGTCTTCAACTCTCAAGGTAAATAATGGCCTTCTAGGTTTGTTTATAAATGATCCACTTGGATCGTGTGACCAACGTAGAAGCGCTGAGGTCAACAAGGAACTGCTCATGGGCTTATCCAGAATTGTATCTGTGTATGTCGTTTTTGGAGCTTTTCTGTGGGAGACAGGAAAATTGATTACAGCGCCATCAGCTTGAAGCAGCTGGCAGGCTCAGTTTCAGAATTGCTGGAATTGAGATACTATAGATTACGTCATGCAATTGGCAAGGTCTTTGGACTCATTGCTGGTACCTCAGCAATGCCTTTTCATTTATGTCATTGTGAAAGGCCCTAGAAAAAAAATGTCTTTGGAAAAATGTGAGCCTTTGAAAATTTTGGGGATGTCATACGACCTTCCCCCCCCCCCCCGCATGCGCTCATGCTGCTATCAGTTATCACGCAACGATAATTTTGTTTTCTTGGTTACATCACTCAGAATGGGTCTATGAGCACAACAGTCCTGCCATCACAACACCAGATGGCACCCTTTGTTGTCAACCAGATGTTGGTTACCGTTCATTACACCTGATTGACAGTGAGTATTAGTAGTCTATAGAAATTGAGGAAAATCGAGCAAGGGAAAAACAACAAATTAAGTTTTTGGGCCAAATTAAAAGCTTGTGCAACAATTTGTGTTATCAATTGGGTGAGAGAATGCCAGCATTAGAAGATCTCAAGGAATAAATGATTGAAGGGGGCTAACATGGCTTTTATTTTAACAGAAACACTAAATATACAAAGTAAGTATTACAACACTGTCATTCACTAACTGGACAAAAAAAAAATAATACTGTTGCAGAATTAAGAAGTGCTGTATATAATGAAACTAAAAATTAAATTAAAAAAAAGAATTCAAAAGAAAAAACATAATTTTTATCAGGAATATGATATTTGCAACAATGAATATTGTCAAAAACAAACCTTCACACGGAATTTTGGGATTGTTGTTAGGCGTTTCACCACCCACTCTGGGGGGTTGTAGGGGAACAGCTTTGAAGGATCTAAACTTCCTTTTGAATAACTGTCTTTCTCAGAGTCCTCACCCCTTTGGTTCCATTTAATGTTTGCCGTCATTGTTCCATACAATTAGTAGCTGTAGTACTAGACCTGTAATGTACAAAAAAGCATGTTCAATTCAATTTCTTTTTTTTTTTTATTAACTTTCTTTCAGCACTGACAGTTCCCTCAAAATAATAAGGGCTTCGTTAAACCTAGAGTCTTGGGACTACATACAATCCTTTTATTTATTTATTTTATTTTTTTTCCCGAAATCCATAATTTCCAGCAGTGGCAGGTGTTTCGAAGCTAGGCCTACGCTAGGCCTAGGCTTAGACATCAACAACAAAAACAGGCTCGCCGCTCGTGTCCGGAACACGCAACAATTCGTAATAGTACAGTTCAGTAGTAGTACTACTAGTAGTAGTAGTGAGAGCGGAGCAGGCCAAACCAGCCTAGGCCTACACTAAATTGCCTATAGTAGTACTGTAGACTTATTCTACAGTTAAACTTGAAATTCAACTTAATGTAGTTTGCGTTACAGTTTACCGTCAATTACCATAATGTCTCTGAACTGATAAGGGCGAAAAGCAACTGGTGTGACCGAAATCAAAGAGTAAACAGTACCAAAGATACTAGAAATACAAGATAGAGTTCTCGCATTGTAAAAATGAGGCGGAAGTCGTGCCCAACGTAGGCGGCGCCCTTCTTTTTAACCATGTAAGTTTCCTATACTTCGTGCCCAACGTACAGGGCGCCCTTCTGTTGCTAAGTATATCCAGACGCAAAAGGCGCCCTTCCTTTTCCACTAATGGAGGAAAACTTTTTCACTAAGAGTGCGTCCGGCCATGCGATTCTGCGATGTATTGTTGTTTTATTCTTTACTGATTCCTGATTATGCTTTAATTGTTTTGTGTATTATTTGGATAATAGCAACGATTTCTACCGCCACCAAGGAGGTTATGTATTCACCGATGTCACTGTCTGGGTGTCTATTCCAGTTTGTTTTTTATATCTAGTATCTTTGTTGAGAATTAATAATAAAATACGCGACGACTTGGTAACGAAGGTTTAGCACAAGTTTTTTTAGATCCAGCTGTAGGGTGCGTCCCATTTTTCGTATTCCCACCATGCATTTCGGTGGAACACGGTGGAACATTTTTTTTGTGTGGAGAACTCTATCTTGTATTTCTAGTATCTTTGACAGTACTCTTTCAACCCTTTGCCGAAATGGAACAAAAAAGAAACATTGAGATTACGCCCTCTATCTACCGATCGAGGATTAGAAAAATACTTATACTGTATTTAGGCCTCTGTAATTTTCAATCCAGAATATATTTATTAGTTTTAGGCAGATGTTAATACCTGTTTTTAACAATGGTTACAATAAATATAAGGACAGTCCACATAAACAGTACACAGTTTAGCTTATACAGAAAAATATTAAATATTTGAAAAAATTCACGAATCAAAACAAACTCTAAAAATACATTTAGTTTATAAAAATAGTAAAAAAAATTAATCAACAAAGCATAAAATATTAGATTTATTAAATGTTACGTATTTTACATCTGCAAAAATACATAGTTTTATTACAATAAAACTGTAAAACTATCAACAAAGCATACATTTCATTTAAAAGAAAAAAAACGTTATATAAAACGGTAAAACAATAAAATAATTTAAAATATGAATTTTGTAGGCCCTATTTGGTCTTAAAACTGTTTATGAATTAGTAGACTTCATTATTTGGTTCCAAACTCTTGCCCCGGCAATCCGTAAGAAATTCTTAATGGTACTACAATTAGGGATCCTGGGGCGGATGCAGTGGATGCGATCGCAACCTCTAGATTATCAAGAAACATAAATGTTATACTTTATTGTTGGTAAGAATACCAGTAAGACTTCAAAGGTATGAGAGTGCAATTTTCGGCACCTAATGATTCATTGTCAAAATGTTCCCCAACCATGGTGGTGCTGACGTGGTATGGACTCTTACGCTGCCCATACAATAAAATAAAAGGACAAAAAGATTACAATTACACAACTCCGAAGAGAATTATATACTCTTGAATATAATTTTAATTCAGAAAAAAAAAACAAATCACATGCAACAATCAATTGGGAACATATGCTGAATTATGTGTAATATAAAATTACAAGTAATTAATTATAAGTATTTCACTAATTGGCAAATATAAATATATTAACCATTATTAAATAAAGTTCAGAGCAAATACTAAAAATCAAATTCGTCCCTCCAACATGTCTCAGTTCCCACTACACAACATTCTCTTCCCGAATAGCTTTTTATCTTCTCTGCCACATTCTGCACCTGATAACCGTATACCTAACTGCATTATTATTCAATTCTACCGTATCACAGCAAGTTTTCTTTTGTTCGTTCATCTCTAGACTAGACCCCATGCTGGGGTCTAGGTCATGTATTTGTATTTTAAGCCCTTGGCACATTTACAAAACAAAATAACATTTAGAAAACAGAAGAAAACAAATCACATCTTCTTATAATAAGCTAAGTGAAGATACAGTAATTTGATACATTATATGAAACATTATAATCAATTGATGACATTATTTGATAGAACTTAAACATTTTTGGGTTTATACAGTATATGTATATAAGAAAGATGGAATTAAGTTTTTCCTAATGTCAAAATGTAAACATACTAAAGTAAAATAAAATTCATCTTCTGCATTGATATGAGCATCATTTCCATATTCTATTTGGCTTTCTTTAATTCTAAGTTTAAAATAATAATTCAAATTTTTGTTAAAATATGTCTATGTCAATGATGATCACTTGCTCTGAATACAGAATGGTTAATGGTAATAATAATAATAATGAAGGCTGCCCTCATGAATGTATCATCATACAATAGTTGGTTCATCTTCAGGGTTCATCCAGTTCTGTACCAATGTTTCTCCAGCTGACTGCATCTGAACATCTCCTAGCCGCCCATCAAACATGCTAAATATTCCACCTGATGCATAAAAAAAAAAGAACATCAGAATGTGTTCATCTGTTTCCCTGCATACAAAAATACAAACCACCAATAATCACTAAATTTTATTCTACACACATGCACAACTATCTTTGTTTTTACTATGTTACACAGTGCATGTTGATAAGAATTGTTTAAGAATGGCAACCTTAGCAAGATGAAAAGTTGGAGGGATTCTCAAATTTTACAGCCCTTCCTCAATAATCACAAACATGGATACATACCTGAATGTAGAAAGAGTATTCGGCTGCCTTTGAACTTTGACCTGTGTTTCCTGAGCTCGTTGGTCAGTGCTAGTGCTGATTTAACAGTGTATGTGTGGTCAAGCAAAATACTAGTCTGCTGGGCTACTGTTTTAATGAATTCTTAAAAAAAATAAAAATATTTTAAATCAGTATAAAGAACTGTCTAGACAAGAAGTTTTATAAATACAACAATAACTTTCTTACCCAATTCCTCTGGTTTTGAAATGCCGTATCCTAGTCATCCCTCATGGATGTTGATGATGTCATTGACCTCACCGTGTCACCTAAACCAATACTGTTGAGCGTCTCATTGATATAGTGTCCCTTTAATAGGAGGGGGTGGTGTCCTAAAGGAAGGGGGTTCTACTGTATTTTGTATTTATTCTCTGTTTTTACTATCATATCTATAGTATATACCCCAGTGGGGTCCTTTGTCAGTATCTATTCAGATTCAGAACTATCTAGACAAGAAGTTTTATAAATACAACAATAACTCTTTTTTTTTTGTCACATTTGTTTTCTTACCGAATTCCTCTGGTTTTGAAATGCCGTATCCTAGTCCTTTTGCTCCCTCATGGATGTTGATGATGTCATGTGACCTCACCGTGTCACCTAAACCAATACTGTTGAGAGTCTCATTGATATGAGAGTGAAAATATTCCGCAGTGTCACACACAGCAAAGGCATGCACCCTGAAAATAAAAGCAAAGGTGTCTTGTACTACATTGCCTCTAAAACATTTTGTATATGTTCTATGATGACCGTTTCATGCATATTTTTATATATATTTTATCTACTGTATAATGTGATGGTAAGAAAAGAGTTTCCCTTTAGCGGAATAATAAAGACATCAGCTGCATTTAAAGGACAACGTACTAAGAGCGTCTGACTTAAGCCCTGTCAAGATTAAGTATCAAACTTTGACCCTAGTACACTTAAGTTCACTCCATACATGTGTGGGTGTAGTAAGTCATTATGTTTTAATAGCTGATGCCCTGCAGGTTTTTTACCAAATAAAAAGATCAATTTAATAAATACCTGAGATGGGATCCAGTAAGGAAGTTCCCAATAGCAACACCAGCTGTTCCACCACCCAGCTGCTGTTCCACCACTGCCTACAGTTAGTATGACATCATCAAACCTGTCAGTCACTCCCTAAAATAATAAATAAATTAATTAATCTCTATTAATCAATAAATCTATCCATACATAGATTTCCTGGACAAGGCTTAAGCAAAGCTTAAGTTTCTAAAAAAACATAAGGAAATAACATATTTGGCAACGTTTTAATAAAAAAATATGAATATGCTTAACAGAGCCCACAAAGACACATCAAATCAATGGCATTTAACAGTGGGTGACACGTCCCCCAATTTTACAAAGTTGGGGGGAGGGGAATCATATCAATTGTCTCCCCTCACATTTTATCAATCTTCTATAGTTAAAACTCCACTTTTCAAAACGAGTAGAAAGTACAACAACAATTGCGAATGACTGTCATGAATTTTGTCTGTTCACTTGTGCTCTGTTTCAAGTGCAGTGCATAATTCCAGACAAAAATCGAGTAAAAACGCAGTTGTTTTTACATTTTGTAACCATCTTAGTAACCATCAATTTATTGTGAAAACAAAGTACTGTACGTTGTAGAAACTGAAAGCATGTAAACCTATCAGGCCAACATTTTTACAAACTCAGAAGTGAACAATTTCTACTATAAATGATTTATTCCTTTTGTATATTAAGACCAGTATACACTAAGTGTTTAATATTATCTGCATACATTGCTTATCCTAATTTCAAAACATTATA